TGTTTTTGTACAGACAGCACTTCAGACAGCAAGTATGCTGTAGTCGGCAATCATTCGTTTTGGTACAGAGTGGGACAAGTAGGGGGTGATGTTGCTGTAGTCGAACGGTGAGACGGACGTGTAGTTCAGTTTTGGGCACGCGTACGGTGCTGCAGGGATTATATATAGGTGTAGTAGTACCTCTTCGGGCTCTTGTACACCTTTTTCTTGCTACGTGTGCGTGTTCTTTAGATCCTCAGATGGCTCCAGCACTTTCGTGACCACGGGCCGAGAGTCTTTGCTAGATTTTGGCATTTAGCAACTGACATACGGTTTAATGTGAAGTCAACAACAACAACAAGAAACCAACAGGAGGACAGGCAGTTGTGGCAGATGCGATGCATCTCGGAGGTGCCCTGAGCGTCCACCACACCACAGGTGCCATGGAGGTACTGCCCGCAGACTCCTCTACAGTGGTGATTTGTGAACGCCGGCGGGCCTGGCGTGTGATCGGGGACAGCCGTGCAGCGACTGCCCGCCGCGCAGGGCATGGTGTCTGCAGCTGTGTGGGTGTGTGATGTGTGTGTGTGTCCACGTGGTTTCCATATTGTTCGATTTAAGAAAAATCCCAGCTGCAATAGGAAATTTCTCTTAAATCGATTTTGATTGGTACAAGCCAATTCCTCTCTCTTAAATCCGTACTTTCTCTTAAATAAGTTCTCTTAAACCCTAGCCGCTACTGTAGTGTAACCCGCAGGAAGCAGCAACAACAAACAGTGGCTGGCGTCCGGCCACTGGACAGCCCGATAGCGCGGCCAATCAAAATCAATTGAATCTCTCACACACGCGCACACACAGCAGTAGTCAATCCCGGCAATCGGTGTGGAAGTGCGTGCAGCTTTTAACCACCACACCACGTTGTGATCGTCAGATTTCGTGCAACATGACCTTGCTGCAATCGCTCATCGTTTGCGGTGTGTGTGTTACAAGCCTCCGTTGATCCCGGGGACGGTGAAGTATCACCCCTGGAATCTGAGATGGACACTTCCCCACGTACAGGACACTAAAAATTAGTGGGGTCGACTGCACATTGAAGACCACGAAGAAGTCAGTGTCGACTGCAAGTTTGATACCTGGACTACAACCAGTACGACGATGCACCTCCGGTCAGGAAAAAAACGCGAAATTTTTCTCGCAACACAAAAAAGATGAATACTCTCGCAACACAGCAATAGTACTACATATGAATGCAGTGCCTGTTTCTTCTCCCCTGAACGATTCACTGGGGACAGTCTAGCTATTATTGCCACGACGAATAGGGCAGACACACCCACCACCCACCGTCGCACCTCCCCTCATCATTCCTCTGTCTCGGCAACAGCAGCAAGATTCAACACTGCGAAACCTGTACATTTCAGGTATAGTATGGTCTCACGACGCCGATGAACGGCGAGCATGCTGCCTAGCCTACAGCAGCAGCCAATGTAGCCCTTCATACGAGTTTAGCCGATTTGGTCTCTTGCAGAATATTTTACGGCAGATGTTTGCGATTTGCTTGACGGAGTATACTAGAGGGATCGAAGGTGATGCTGCAATACTCCCGCTGGGTTACTGCCCACGGTATTGATCGGTGTTGGCATTTAGCTGTGCAAAGGAACGATATTTGAAATGTGTGTCTACTTCCATGGAAATCATGTCGAACATTGCGTCCGACGTGTGCATATTATATGTCTGCGTGCAACCACGTGCGTGATGCATTGAGTCGAACGATCGAAACGGTATCCACTCAATCAACCAAGAACGCGTACAAACCGCACACGGCTAAACGACCACAACCACCTAAGTACTTACCGGGAAGTAAAATGATCATCTACCTGGCAAAGTCTGGCAGGAACAATGGTACATCCTTCATACATCACGACGTCTTCTTCGCTCGTGGAAAACCATACCTACCTCTCCTGCTACCGGACATATTTCGGTACCGGGACATGCCCTTCGCAGCAAGGGCCGGTCTACAAGTAACCGCCCCAGCCTCGACTTTCGACTATTGAAGCTACGATGTTGAGGGAGAGAAAACGAGGTATGAATGCAAGGGGCATAGTCTACACACACTTTCGTACTTTTCCATGAAATATTTCACGGAATTCCATGGAAGTCCATGGAATGAAATGGAAGGCCAATGAATTCCATGGAAGTCCACGACCGTGAAACGCCCCATGAATGCCATGACATTCTTGTAGGGAAATATTTCAGGACAACGTTTCGTGGACATTCATGACCAGCATTCAAGAACGCCCGTCCCGTGAAAGTTCCTGAAATATTTTATGAAAGGTTTCATGGATCGTTCAGGAAATGTGCCATGAACGCCAATGAAATGTTTCAGGATCATCCACGAAATATACCATGAACGCCTATGAAATGTTTTATGAACGCCCATGAACATTCATGAAAAGTTTCATTGTTTCATGATCGTCCATGAAAGTTCATGAAATGTTTCATGGACATCCATGAAATTGCAGAACACTCTTTTCATGGACTTTCATGGATGTTCCTGAACACTGGGCCTCTCACACTCTCTCTACAGTGCGAGTTTTGTTACACCGTAGATGGGCACCACCTTATGCCCGTCGGCTGCCCATATTGGAATTTTCCGCCATGACGCTCACCCTAAACCCAATCCCACGGGCAGCCCATACGGATATGGGCAGCCCATGGGCGGCCAATGAGTGTCCTTCCAACCGAAACCAATATGCTCCTAAACAAGTACCAGTAGATATTCTGCTTTGGATTGTACATTATATGGGCTTTGGCATTATAAGGGCTGGCAATCCTGACCCTAATGCTAACCCCAAGTCAATGTGATACGTGCTAGGTTGACGCTGGTGGCTCAGTTCTAGGGTGACATGCCGTTGCGAGTGTTAGGTTGAAGTGCCCACGGTGGGCACTTCGTGGGCAGTTCATGGGCTGCCCAGTGGGTACTTTAAATGAGATTTTCGTGGAAGTCCATGAACGTATGAGCAACCAACCATGGAACATGCCATTGAACTCCTTGGTAATCCACGGACGTCCATGACACCAAGTATGAAAATATGTGGAAGACCACGAACACATTTCATGGACGTCGATGTCCAACACATCCTAAGCTCACACATGTCCGGCAAGTTGGCTCCATTGGAATGTTTCTCGGATGCCCATGAAATGATATTTATCATAAAGTTTCTCTCCAGACACCCTTGACAATAGACGACCACGTTTGCAGCTAAATATTTTCGTAGAGGTCTTATTACAATGACGAGTCTATTGCCGTCGGATTTTTCACCTATTGCCAAAGACCGAGCCCATCGACAGACAGCGCGTGCAATCTATATCGGCTTGCACTGTCTATCGGTAGGTTTTCTGCACGTCTATCGTGGTCAGGAATGTCCATTGATTTGTGTTGTGCTAACTCTACTGTAGCTGGCAATGTCAATCGATGGACAGTAAAAAGTCTAGACTATGTGGCTAGCTATGCGTTTCGATGGACATTTTGTGCTTGTCAATTGAGGGCAGCAATGACAATTGGCCCATCTCTATGGCAGAAAATCCATAGTTGTCACCATAGTGGGACGTTGCGTTGCTATTATTTCAGATACCGTACGAGTGATCAGCACCCAAGGGAAATAGAACATCGAGGCTACAGCATCCCTCAAAACGTAGCTGGCGATAGACATTGCTGGCTATACCAGAATTCGCGTGCGGTCTTCCGATAGACATTGCTGGCTGCAATAGACATGGCAGGCATTCTTTCGAAGTAGGTTATCGACAACAATAGGTTTCGCGGGCCGTCGCCCCATAGACATCGTTGCCTGCACTATGCTGACCTGTCACTCTTTCGATATATGTTGTTGGTAGTATGATATTTCACAGGTCGTCACCAGATAGACATTGTTCGTTACATACAGCATTCATTGTCAAAACATCTTCCGAAAGATGTTGTAAAAACAGCAGATTGGCATGCCTTTTTCCGAAAAAAATTGTTGCCAACAGTAAGCTCTGGCGGTCGTCTTCCGATAGACATTATTATTGTTTTGTTTGCCCTCCGACAAATGCAGATAAATGCAGACATACATAAAAAGTCGATCGTAAAGGCCGTCATTCCAAGCCAAATTAACTCGATACCCAATAGCTAGGAATGTTTGCCTCTAAAACAACAAAACTGTGGTCGAAACACTACAGCTGAACTCTAGGCACGAACCATAGATGGAGAAAAACGAACAAAACCCCAACCGCATCCACCCGAAATAGACATTGTTAGCACCAACAGATTTCGAAGGCTATCTTCCCATGGACGTTGCTCGCAGTAGAAGAAGAAGCCGTCCACACATGTTTGCTTGCAAGTGGATGTCCTTAACACTTCGAGGATATAATGCGTAGACAATGATTATCAATGTTGCATTTCGAAATATACCGACAGTGTTTATCGATTGAGTGCTCAACAATTTATCGCACTAAATATATATGACAACATTTCAATGAACACATTGCCGTAGAAAATGGACATCGATAGAACGGTTGAAAGTCTGTTGTGTACAATTGATGTCGATGGAAACCTTCGCAATCTGTTGCGGTTGACAATCAATGTATATCGGCAGACCTTTGATAACCTATTGTGCTTTGACAAAGGATGTCGAGAGGAGCGATCAAAATATGTTCTTTTCGACAATGGATATCGATGGAAACCTTTCAATATCTGTTGTACCCGACAAGGGATGTCAATTTTTTTCTTCGTGGTTGTGGGTGACACATGGACCGTCAACGAGTGCCCCCGTCAACCGCAACAAGGGTACCCCCAAACAGGATTATCTGCTTTGGAAGGGGTATTACAACGGATAAACCCTATCGCTAACCCCAGGTCCACATGATACGTGCTAGCTTGCGCTGGGTGGCGAAGTTCTAGGTTGATGCGCCGGGGTGGCGACGTTCTTGGTTGAATTGCCCACGCTGGGCACTTCGTGGGCAGTTCATAGGTTGCCCGTGGGCCCACCCATGGGTAGCTTATGGGCAGCCCATGTGCATCTCATGGGGCGTCCATGAAGTGCCCATGGGTGCCCCATGGGCAGTTTATCACAACCGCCAGTGGGGTGGGAGATGGGGCCTGCATGACCTGCAGCGATCTGACTCCCCAGTGTGATGTGCCGATGACGCTCGCTACTTTTGTTTGTGGCTGTTAGAGGCAAACTGTTGGACTTAACAGTGCCGAGTAGCAATCCAGACGGATTGATGGGTTCAGCAGGGCGGCGATAATTGTTGCCTATACAGCAATGTACCATCCAGAGGGCGCACAGTATTGGTGAAGTACAGATGCCTCTTGGTTGCCTAACGTAGGTACGAAGTAGGATTTTTGCATGCGCGGTTCAATCGGAAAAGGACAGAATAATTATATGCATATATCCTGACGCGACCCGGTACGAAAACAGCTGTACACCGAACCGGCGTGGACGGGTGCACGGCGGGAAGGCGTGCACGGAGCGCGGGTATTGTAGCAAGACACCGGGAGCGCACAGAGAGGCACACGTTGTTTTTCGCCAAAAATGCCCATGGACGCACTATAGGCGCGACGATACACACCTACTCTACACTTTAAATATGGGGTGAATGAGCCGCGGGTGGTCTAGGGTACCGACAGCCCCCCCGCGCGGCGGGGCCACAATGGAAGGACAGCTCGGACACCACGAGGCGATAACGCATGGTACCTAGCAGGTGGCACGGTAGAGATGAAGGACCTGGATGATTGATTGTGGACAGAGATGCACAAACCGGACATAGATTCGGATATTGAAAAGGTGAAAAGAGAAAAGTGGCCTCTGCATGTTACACGGCGGTAGGTACCGCCCGAAGATGGTGCAGTCCGTTGACAGACGGCGCGAGGAGGAATACGAGCAGCACCGGAAAATTTCGTCATTTGGCGAAATAAAATTCCTGAAGTGACGTTCAAGTAGCTTTTTTTGGACAACACGACACGAGTATCCGGAAAGCATGATGGCTCCAACCATTATTCAAAATAGACCTCCTCCAAAACTCCAAGGGTGGAGTGGGTACGCTCCTTAGAAATGACACAGCTAATGTTCGAGAAACGACAATGTAAATGTCAACGTGCAAGCAACCCGCCTTGGTGGACATCCCAAAACATAACCCTAACCCTTTAGGTATCCAATAGGCAACAGAACGGAGGCAGCAGGTGGATACCAAAAAGCTATACCCCGTCAGGACATGAAGTCATCATCATTGAGATAAATACGGCCGGAAATGCGACAAGAAGGCCACAGGATGAACCAATCGGTTCATAAGGAACGCCAAAGGAGAAGAAGGGACGGTGAAACCAGGCGACACACTCCATGAAGGAAACCGAGGGGACAGTAAAGCAGCCAGGCAAATAGGATACGCACGCCAACATGCATAATTCAGAAAATTTGTTATGGATATTGTGTGATACCCCGGCACAGTGGCTAGAGGCTGTGTAGTCGACGTTGGTCGATGTGGTGACACTTGTGGAGTGTTGCCTGGAAGACTATGTAGAGGTGCTTCCGTGTTGTAGAGAAGATGTCGTGGATAACGTAAACACTGGCGCTTATGTGGCCAACACACACAGATAAACTGCAGAGCATGCAGGAACCCAGACGACGGCTGCTTCCCAGAGATGACCAGGACAGCTAACATGTCATGATGTTCAGAAGGATGCACACGAGAGAGTGAGACAGGGACAAGCGTCGAATCCTACATAAGTATTCCTCCGCATGCGTTACATACGAAGAGACATATACGAGATCTACGATGATCTACGATATACGAGAGCAGTGCTACTGAACATTGATTCATGTTGGCTATGTGCTAACATTTCCATAACACTCCCCCTCAATGAAAGTTGCTCTGAATTGCATCAAACTCATTCTGAAGTCAAGTAAGAAGATCCATTCTATTTCATGCGTTTCGACCACAATATATTTAATGTACCAATTAAAAAAACTACCTTAATGTGCTTGCCTAATGATTCTTCACAAACCAAATACCACAGCTTCCAATCCCACATGGCTCGTTCAACCAGTGATGGTGTGAGCCCGAATGTTATTACCGAAAGAGTAGACGAAAAGCAAACACACAAACATGTAACATTATTATTTATTTGAACTTGCTGTTGATGAAGTCGTTCACGTTGAAATTCTTGATCATGTTGAGTAGGTGTTGGAAGCGGTCCTTGTTGAGGTGCTTGGTGCCGATGTCGGCGGGGTTGCTGTCGGTCGGGACGAAGTGGATGAAGATCTTTCCCTCCGACACGAGATCTCGGATAAAGAAGAATCGAAGCGCGATGTGCTTCGTCCTCGAGCTGTGGGAGCGGTTCCCCAGCGAGTGTAGTGTCGCCGTGTTGTCGCAGTACAGCGGTACTTGCGCAAACTCCTTGCCGAATCCAAGTTCAGTCAGTATGTTGGAGCAGAACACTGCTTCCTTCATCGCCAGAGCCGCAGCAACCAGCTCCGCCTCCATGGTCGATTGAGCAGTCAGGCTTTGTAGCCCAGACTTGAACGCCATCAGTGCATCGTATAGCATCGTTCGGTGACTAGAGGTGGACTTTCCGTTTGGCCGGGTTGTTTCCCCTGTTGGAGTCCGTGAAGGCTTTAAGCTTGAAGCCTCCCCTCTTGTCGGTGATCTTGAAATCTGTCATGCCAGCGAGGTAGCGGAGGTGCCCTTCGCTGCCCCCATGTGATTCTTGCTCGACTTCGCCATCGGGCGAGCCAGTTGGCTTGTAGCGTACATGATGTCGTAACGCAGTATTTGAGCGAGGTACATGAGGCACCCCACGATGCCCTGGTACCGTCGCGTTTCCTCCTGGTTTAGGAGAGTTTCCTCCTGAATGTCCGCGTGGAGGAAAGCAGCGGTGACGTCCATCTGAACGATGATCAAGTCGAATTCAACGGTGATGCATAGTACAACCCGAACGCTTTGGGTCCTGCATACCGGAGCATAGGTGCCACCGCAGTCTCGACCATGAATTTGATTTTATCCTTGTGCCACAAGGCGTCCTTTGAAGGAACGGTCGGCCTTGTGCTTGAACACCCATCTGGAGTTTATCCTTCGTCTCCCTTGGGGAACGTTCGAACGCAGGACGAGCTTGTAAACTTTGCGATCTGTAAGGTTTGCAATTTCCCGTTCGGCCGCAGCGATCCACTGTGCTGCGTTCCTGGATTCTCGTGCTTCTTCGATGGTCTTTGGAACATCCGGTTGGACTGTTCCTGCTGCATATGCGTATTCGGCGAATCCGAAGGAGCCGTCCTTGTGGGCGACGTCGGGAAACTCCCCCTTCGCGGTATACGAATAGGAGATCCGAACTTCGCGGTTGACGCCGTTGTTGACGCCGTTACCAGGTCGGCGTCTAGCATACCCAACAGCAAGACACTCCGCGTTGGGTGCCTTCCTCAAGATGTCCAAACTCTTGCTGTTGATATGGCCCTTGAGTCTGTGCCACAGGTCGGCCGACTCCACCTTCAGGGCTAGGCCGCCGGGTCCGTTCTCGATCATTCCCCCAGCGCCGCCCCTGACTTTGATCTGGACGGTGCAAAGCAGTTTTCCGGTCTTGTCCACCCCATGAGAGGTAATCCGTACAGTGCATGAGCCATCTACCGACTTCAACCTTGGGTTGGCCGGATGAAACATCGCTGTCACCCCTTTGAGCATGGCAGCGCCCACGGACAAGAGATGGGTCCCCAGCCCAGGCACGAGAATTTATCGGAGAGATACGGCCCTGTCAGATCCGCTGTGGTCCGTGACGGTGCCTTGGAAGACCCCAGTAGCAACACCTTGATGGTGTAATGGCCAATGCCGACTACCGCGAATGGATGCCGAATTTCATTGATGTCGTACATGTGTTCTCGCACGCCTGGCAAAAGCTCAGGGTCGATACAGGTGTCGGTGGCTCCGCTGTCCACCAGCATCCGAACGGATGATCCGTCGGGAAGAGAGCCGCCGACAATTCGGCAGGGGTCGCCATGAACGCAACGAGAACCCTTCGGGCAAGCGGTGGTCCTGTGCAGGCGACGATGATGAGGTAGTTTTAGGTACCGCCTGAGCGGCGGNTACCGCGAATGGATGCCGAATTTCATTGATGTCGTACATGTGTTCTCGCACGCCTGGCAAAAGCTCAGGGTCGATACAGGTGTCGGTGGCTCCGCTGTCCACCAGCATCCGAACGGATGATCCGTCGGGAAGAGAGCCGCCGACAATTCGGCAGGGGTCGCCATGAACGCAACGAGAACCCTTCGGGCAAGCGGTGGTCCTGTGCAGGCGACGATGATGAGGTAGTTTTAGGTACCGCCTGAGCGGCGGCAGACGCCGCCGGGGGCGTCTGGGAAGGGGCAGGCGACGAGGGGGTGTCAGCCAGGGAAGCAGCGAGGGTGCTGAAGGAGAACCCGAATGAAGGTGTATCTGCCGGAGCCCGTGTTGCCGCCGCCGGAGACAACGAGTGCGCCAGGTGGGCGCTCCCCACGTTGGAGAGGCGTCCTTGGGCAGCGGACTGTAGCAGCGCCAAATTCGCGGCCAACCCTTGTTGCTCCATCTGCTTGCTCTCGCGTAACTTCTGCTGTTTCAGACACTAAGCGTCGCTGTGTGTCGTAGTTTTGTGGTAGGCGCACCACTTTGGCTGAGCACTTCCACCGCCTTTCTCGTTTTTCCCCTTCCTCTTGGTTCGGTTGGAACGACCCTTCTGTCCTTGTTTGGGACAGTCGCGCTGGAAGTGCCCGTACACCTTGCAGCGATGGCACTGGTCGGAGCTGGATGCGGCCGCCAATGCGGCCCCTCGTCCCGAGACCACGGGGCCCGACGCGTTCCCCGACTGCTGGTCCACAAAAAACGGTTTGGTCAGGCCGGAGAGCATGATGTCGAGGTAGACCTCGTCCGAAACTACCTCTCCCAAGACCCGCAGGCGAAGCTTCAGGTCCCAGCCCTTCGTGAAGAAATCGATGGGATCACCGCCCGGAAGGTGTCTCAGGTTGAAAAGCTCGTTGTGACATGCTCGCCTAGCATCCTGGGTTTGTGCATCGAAACGGTCGTTGAGAGCTTTCTAGGCCTCCGCCCCATTCCCCATGGTGTTCGCCGCCGTCCCTTCATGAGCACGGACGGTCAGCAGCACAGACCCGGAGGTTACGAAGAAGAGGAGGGAGTAGAGGCGACCGTTGGCTTTGTCCCAGTCGGCTAGGCTGTCGAGTTCGCCGCAGGTGCCGATGGTCGGGCACTGCCCTCTAGGACGGAGTGAAGCTCCGGAGCGTGGAGAATGACGGCTTNATCCTGGGTTTGTGCATCGAAACGGTCGTTGAGAGCTTTCTAGGCCTCCGCCCCATTCCCCATGGTGTTCGCCGCCGTCCCTTCATGAGCACGGACGGTCAGCAGCACAGACCCGGAGGTTACGAAGAAGAGGAGGGAGTAGAGGCGACCGTTGGCTTTGTCCCAGTCGGCTAGGCTGTCGAGTTCGCCGCAGGTGCCGATGGTCGGGCACTGCCCTCTAGGACGGAGTGAAGCTCCGGAGCGTGGAGAATGACGGCTTGCTTGAGATCCGTCTTCCACTCGCGGAAGTCCTCATGTCCGGTGCATTTCCCGATTGAATCCAGCATGCGGTGGAGCCCGGAGCTCGATGATTCCGCCATCGCTGAAATTGGGATAATCGCCGGTTAGGATGAGATCTTCAGCACACGCAAGACGTCCCGAGCACCTGAAATGGGTCGACACGCCTGGATGAAGCGGTGCAATGCTACACAGGGGTAGGCTTGATACAGATTGCAGCTTCGTAGCTTACAACCGTTGTCCGGTGGAATTGTTCCGACGTCCGCCCGGACCACTGCGCTTCCACGAGCACAGCAGTGACCAACCGCAGGTGACTGGGCTGCGGTGCTGCGGCGACGGAGTTGTCAGCTCCGGCCGCGTCCTACAGTCACACGGGTCAGATGCACTGTACAGACTTGCTGCGTGTCTTTCAGCGCAGACTTGTGGCTGCTGCACGGATGCAATCAGGCCAGGTCAAATCCTCAACCTATGGGATATCTTGGACAGACTGCGCCTCGCGTATACCACAACGCGCAGGTTCAGTGCTTATATACGCACGTTTGTGCAGCTGCAGCAGCGGACTGCTACCAGCTCAGTCGTATCCTCAGCCTACGCACGCTACCAAGCCCGGCAACCCAGCGCGTGGAGATGTCTTGAACAGACTGCGCCTCGCGTACACCACAACGCGCAGGCGGTTTGGTGGTCTGTTAGTCTCACACACACGGAACCGACAAAGGACAGTCCGTGCGCAGAACAACCTGCACAACCCTATTCATTCGCCGATCGAAATCGCCGCCTAGAAGTTATGCCCTTCGAATGCTTTACACAGACAGTGACGCACCAAAAGTGCAGCCGAGAGCCCAGGTGATCAGTCCGGGCCCAATAAGCGAGCGGGTTGACTCAGTGTGGCGTCCAGCAGAAAGCTGACTCCAGGCGCCATCCGCAACTGACCGACATACCCTCTCCCCAGCTGAAAACAAAAACAAAAATCGTTTGTTTCTTTCGCTTAGACACGCTCAAAACCGACGTCTAAACGCTGAACAAAAAAAAATGGTTCGGGAACCCCTTCATTTTTTTTTTGCCGCTTTTTTTTGAACTGTTCACCTCGGCAGTCGCTTCCGCTTGGTCGATTTAGGGGGGGTAGAGCCACTCAGAAACGTGCTCAGACCAAAAATCAGGTGGGCAGAGCCTCGTTCATGAGCTCAGCCAAAGCTGGGCCAGCGGCAACTGGACTAGCGGCGGCTGTGACCAAACCAGGGGGGTGTGAACCCACAGTCCTTCTTGGAAAAGACAAGCACGTCGTCAAGCTCAGCTGGAGGCTTGTCTCCGAACGTGGGGTGCTGGTGACCGCGACTCGTTGACTCGAAGCACAAGAACAGGAGCTCACAAACCTACAGTTGCTACGCGAAGAACACCGAAGAGGCGGTCAGCGAAAAGGCCAAGGAGCTGACTGACAAGGTCCTCAGAAACAAGCGCGAGCAGTCGCAAAAGGCGCAGCAGCGGTCTGGTGGTGGCAGCAGCAGCGGAGGCGTTAGGAGGACAGCGGATAGCGCCGTCGCCGACCCTGTTATCATGGTTTTGCGGGGTGTCGGGAGAACCCAATCCAGGGTGGTGACAATTCAGCCAGCTGAGCCGGTGAGATGCTAATGTCGCTAGAGGTTTCAGTCAATCAACAGCACAGCAGATCAGTTGTCGAGGTCTACTTACGGTGCACTCATCAATCAATCAACGCATGCGGTAATTTCGCCGACACGAATAATTGCGCCGAGGGGTTTTAACTTCCACCGAGAGGATCGAGTTGCATGAAACGTCGCGTAGTTCTACAGCGAGAGCTCGTCTATGTCAGCTCCCACGGAAACTAAGTGCCCAATTTTTGCAAATTGTCTCCCTATCAGTCGTGCCTTGCGCTTATGTATTATTGCGTTGCGCAACGTCGTACCCCCCGCCTCCTCGTTCTTCATGTGTGCACACAGACGGCGCCGGTCGACTGGCGCCAGCAGTCTACGGAAACGTTTCTCGCGTCCATGGACAGCATGGGGTATGACAACGCGCTGAAACACTTGGAAAAAATCGGCTCGACGTTTGCAAAGGACACCCGTAAACGCTTGCGAGGGTTGGAAGACAAGGTCAGCACAGCAGTCTCGTTGGAGCGAGCAATCGAGCAGGCGCAAAAGCAACGTAGAACCAAGGAGAGAAGCCGCACGTTGCAATCGATCCTCACCGCTGCGGCCTTTCCTGTGGATGGCGTAGACGAGGTTCCATCGTTGTCGGCAGCACGTAGGGCAAAGGCGCTAAGGGTTCGCCAGCACGCCTTCAACTCCGCGGTGGAGCGTGCCAAGAATTTGCTGTCCGATCTTGATCCAACCGAGGCGATAAAATGCGGTGTCTACTGGTTTCGGCCCCGAGCTAAGCAAAGCAATGCCGCCAGCGAAGAGCTGCTGGAGTTGATGAGGCAGTACTGGCACACGGATAAGGTGTCACGCCAGCATGGCAACTCAGCTGAGCGCGACATATGGAAGGCGAGTAAGTCTCCTACAGCTCACCGCCAACCTCGGCGGCAGCTCACCGAGCCGGGCGGGGGCGACGCGGTATACGCCAAGTTTCTCAACTGGGCGTCCTACAAGAGCTTTAAGGAGCGACAGAGCGACGACTTCACTGACCCTGACCGCACGATCTTCCTCTCGACGCGGTGCAAGTGCCTGGTCCTCCCTGCCATGGAGCAGTGCGCGTGCAAGATCCACTCGCAGCAGGTGCTATACATCGAGGTCCTGGCCAATGTCGACATGACCAGTCACGGGGAATGCCGGTGTCGATGGTGCAACGCAGATGGCGGCAGCAGGTGGCGGGAAACGTGAAAGCACTTGGGCACATTCTCCGATGCGATTGCCTGCCCCAAGGTCGACTTGCGGGCAGCGGACCCGGATGGTGACGGTTGGATGGGGCGGAAACCGGAGTGCAACGCTTTGGACTGCGCGAAGTGTGGGTTCGGGGGGGCTGACGGCATTCCCATCTGCAGCAAGCAAGAGAACTCCGAGCAGACGGTGGTGTGGAAGATGTTCGAGGACGTGATCACTGCGCCTGCATCAGCAGATGGGAAGATCAAGGCCAAGAAACTCGCCAACCAGACCGTGCCGAAGGAGGGTAAGCTCTGCGATCTTTGGTCGGCTTTCAAAGGGCACACCAAGCTGTACATGGCTCACCACTCTATCGCTAAGTGGCAAAGGCACTGCCACGGGCGTTGCTTGGAGACGTTTCAGGACGGTGACCTTGTCATCGAGACCGACTTTGCCGAGAAGTACACCCACCAATCCTTCATCAGCATGATGATGCCTGTTTACCCGCAGACAACGCTCATGGTGGCCATCGCACACTTCAACCCGCAGACGCACGTGGGGGGTGGCAGGGTGCACGTGACGGAAACATGGATCTTTGCATCTGAAGTCATGGCGCATGACTGCGATTTCCACCTGCACGGCTTGGCCAGGATGGCGGACTACTACCTGCGTGGAGATGGGAGCGAAGCAACAGCTGCCGCCCAGAACGATGGCCGGACGCCCCGGATTCACATGTTCACGGACGGATGCGGGAAGCAGTACCAGGGAAGGCGGAATTTCCGCTTCTTGGTCGACAGCGTGCGGCAAATCGCCTTTTTTATCGACCACCACTTCGCGGCCACATCTCACTTCAAAGGTTGCCATGATGGGATTAGCGGAGTGGCAAAGAGCGTCATGAACAGGAGGGAGAGATTTGGCAAGCGAATCATGGGGGCGGACGGGGTGATCAGCTTTTTGCGAAGTTCTTTCGGGAGGAGGCAGGCAGCGAGGGGGAGGAGGGTATGCCGAAGTATTTCTTGAAGTGGTCTCCGTACCGCATGCGGAGGGTGCACGTCGAGTTTATCGGCAAGAAGGAGATATGTCGGCCAAACTCGGTCCTGGCAGGCATAGAGGGTACACGAGACATGTACCACTTCGCGGAAGCAAACACTCCCAAGTGGGATGGGTACACCACGACCGAGGGGCGCGAAGATGACTGCAAGCTGGTACGAAAGAGCGAGGGGCGGGGTAGCTTGTCGAGTCAAGAGAAGAGCAGGTTGCGGGAAGTCAAAGTGTTGGGTGCAGTAGCGAGCAGATGGAAGGGTAAGGGGGCTGGGTTGCAGGATCCGGTGTCGGGGGAGGAAGTCGTGACCTGCAGAAAGGTGAAACGGACGTACAGGCTTAGGACTCGGCTGGCGTCGTGCTTCTGCTCGGCGTGCCAGCGTTGCGAGTATGAGCAGTGCTACGTCAGCAAGACATACCCACGTCTCGTTCCCGCATTGCAAGAGGGCGAAGTGAAGGAAACGGTGATCATGGACACTGGAGTAGCGCCCGTAGACGAGGTTAACTCCCGGGGGATCCAGTTCGGGAGTAGAAGGAACGCAGGATGGAGAGAATGATTGGCACACAATGGGAAGAGTGCGAATCTGCTGCTGCGTCAAAGATTTGGGAAGAGCTTGGTAGGAAGGAAGAGCCCAATATTTTTGCCCGTTTCGGGCGGTGGGCTGGTTTTTAAGTGTGCTTCTTGTATTTGCTTCTGGAGCAGTAGGTGGGGTTCAACGCCCATTTGAGGTACAACTTGGGGGTGTGGGGGGCGGGGGGTACCCGAGAAGATGTGAAAAAAACTTTAAATAATTTGATTTTCTTCAAAGCGAGATGATGCTGCCAAATATGTGCCTGTAGCTCAAGACCAAAATGGAATTGAAAAAAAAAGACCACGGATTCGTAATCCCCACCTCAAAATTACCCTTACCTGAAACGTTCAGATCGATCTGACCACTTATGAAAAGCGGGGATTTTTCGGGTCCATCCCCGGGGTTTTGCGTTTTTCGAATTCCCTGGGTAAAAAACGGAATCTAGGTTGAAACCCGGCCAAAAACAGTACAAAAAAAAACAAACGAATCTTCCATTTACATCCACGGGGTAGTATGTCATCAAAATTTCAGACCTTAGCCGGGGATGCTTCATCACCATTCCCCCCCCAAAACATAATCATGACGGTCAGTTGCGGACGGCGCCTCCAGCAGTAGTAGCTCTCCGCGTAGAAAATGTTTGTGCTCTCCACACCACTCGACGGTAGCAGATGACGCAGCCGCCCCAGACCTCCACTCACACTCAATCGAGGCTCAATAACCTGTTATGGATATTGTGTGATACCCCGGCACAGTGGCTAGAGGCTGTGTCGTCGGCGTTAGTCGATGTGGTGACACTTGTGAGAGTGTTGCCTGGAAGACTATGTAGAGGTGCTTCCGTGTTGTAGAGAAGATGTCGTGGATAACGTAAACATTGGCGCTTATGTGGCCAACACACACACAGATAAACCGCAGAGCATGCAGGAACCCAGACGACGGCTGCTTCCCAGAGATGACCAGGACAGCGAACATGTCATGATGTTCAGAAGGATGCACACGAGAGAGTGAGACAGTCGTCTAGACAATGTAGGCCTGTCCTCCATCGGCCGTTTTGCTTGTATGACGGAGAATAAGAAGGTGGAATTACTTGAAATTCGTATAGAAATAAAGTTTGTGTATCTAAATCGAAAATAAAACGGCCGATGGAGGACAGGCCTACTAGACAAGCGTCGAATCCTACATATAAGTATTCCTCCGCATGCGTTACATACGAAGAGACATATACGAGATCACGATGATCTACGATACAAGAGCAGTGCTACTGAACATTGATTCATGCTGGCTATGTGCTAACATTTCCATAACAAAATTGGAATTCTTTGTGATTGTAACTCTACTGCCTGTCCTCGTCGGCTGCCGTATGAGAAACGGTTGAGCGGCAGAGAGGAAGTCATCACTGGATTGGAGGGAAAAGGGTGTTCAACACCGGAAAAAAAGAGATAGACGCACGTTTTTGAGCGCATAAGCGCAAGAGGGAAAAAACACTGGTACAATTATACGGTGGAAACAGGGTACACATTGCAGGCGTCACCAAACCACGCACGACGTTCCTACACACATGAGTCATAGTGTTGCATATGGCGGTGACGAAGTAAGCCGGATGGTCGAGTGGTTGCAAAATGGCCATGACTTCGGTTACTCTCTTAAGTTTGTCATCAAACCCAACGCTGAAGCTCGACGGAAGGATGATGATGTGATCGGCCGCCAGAAATGGGTTCCGCCGTTACGGGGGGACCCGTGAACCACCGACTGTGGTGTAGGTGGGATACTGCGCTTGGTTGAGGGCATGGAATATCAGACGCTGATCTTCGATGCACCTGAAGATATCGATGGCGATTTCGTTTTCCAATGGACCAAGCTGTTGGAAACGCGGTTCTCTGACCAACGCTGCGTTAGCCGTTGTGCGAGGCACGTTTTGTGCCCGGTAGGGCTTTTCAAATCACGGTGCCAGCCAGGAAAAGCACGACATCCAGCAAAGGGAAGTACTCCTTGTTGCACGCTGAAATAATTTTTGTCTCCCCAGCGAAACGTTTGGTCATTGCTGTCCTGTCTTTCGGCAGGGCAGCCTTGGCGCGCGTATACGGCGATGATGATTGATTTCGGATATAGGCGCTCCTGGGGATGCAAAAGCCAAAGGATTGGATATGACGGTGGAAGCCCACCAAAAAATGTCCGTGGGAGAGACGGGACGATGATATTAGTGCATCGAGTCGTTGCCTGATCTTGTTGATGAGCTTGCACCGGCAGCGTGTCGGGCTGGATCGCTTTGGAAAGGTTACCGCAGAAGCAAAACAGCCTACCTATTGTATGCCAGAAGGGATGTTGACTGCTGCTGCGCAACTCGGTGACCCTCGGAACGATGATATACAAGATGTCGTTGATTTCGTTGTTACGGACTGACTCCAAGGCCAGGTTTTAATGGTAGAAAGTGAGAGTGAGAAAGAGAGGCGCGTGGGGCAGCTCGCGATCACTGAAACAACAAAATGTATATCTACTGTTGCGGACCCCGAATAGTCAATCGGCTATCTTGGGGTTCCCCCAATAACTAGTCCGACCTTTCGCTGACCGTCCCGTGCGGGAACGTGTCACACAGACAGCATGTAGTCTCCGCTCTACTATATGTTGCACGCGTCTGGTAACTAATGCTGGTTGCTCGTGCCGGTACCATTCGACAGCGTACAGACCTAACACGCTCGTGCTGTCCTACTTTCAGAGCGTGGGTACTACTACTACTGTCTATGCTGCCAAAAGCGAACACAGAGGGGATAGAAGTTGACTACTGTCTAAATGGACAGCAGGTATATATTCCTGACACCTGAAATGAAGTGGGGATATGTGTGCAACTTAACAACAGAGGTTAGAATGAAATTCGGATGGCCTGGACGACGGGTATATTTCACTACAGATTGATAGCGAGCACGCGAGGGAGCTACAATCTGTTGCTACTGGCCGTTCTCCGCCGCCCGACATGTGACAGAACTTCTCGCGAGGCAGTCCGAATTTTTCGCATGACACCCTCATCGACGTGACTGTAGGCGCGCTTGAGGTGCTGCGATTGAGGTGCTGCAGGTAGCCATTCTACGTTGGAATGCGTGTTGCATACGGATATACGGACAGTTGCGAATGAGCTTGCTCTTTTTCTGATGCTTCCATTTCCAGGGACAGTAATAAGACTGTGAAATTACACAACGTGGTGCCATCTTCCCCTTTTCGAGCATTGAATGTTCTCGACCTCGCACAACATGATCCACTACTATCATCATGGTTACCGGAAAATGAAACCAATGGCCAATAGAAAGAAGAGATTTCACGAAGCGTTCGACGTGTTTCACAACGTCGTTGCCAAGCGACGAAAACCCAACTCCGATGGCTCTCGGGGGGGGGCGGGCGACCTACACAGAGAGGGGGAGTCCTCAAACGCCAAGTGAAAAACGAAGACGCACATCACATATTTCACATTCGTTTTGAAAAATCTTGCTTTCGATAAGAATAACAGATGAAATATTACGTGGCACAAGGGCCCCGTACTGCATCGACTACACCTACTTTTGTTCATATTTCGACCTGACTACTTCGTAGGTGCCGTGTTAATTTTTTTTCAGGGTTGTTCACGGAGTAGAAACGTTCCGCGGAGCGTGTTTCTTTGTTGAAGTTCCATGGAGCGGAGCGGAATGTTTTGTTTTTTTCAACATGTCACGGAGAGGGGCCTCCTTGTTCGTGCCGCAGGGCGGTATATCCGTAGAACGGTTTTTCACGCAGCGATTTTTTTTGCGTAGCATAAGCCGTGCGAACCCGTGGCCTTGAGGACGGTGTATTATCGGAAACAAGCGTCCAAACCGCACGAAAATCCGCACAAATAGACGAAACACTTCTGTAGCAATTTCGTTTCAACGTTGGGTTTACAACACCAAACGACGATTTTTCCACACGGTGTGATACCGTACGCGCCTTCGCGGCCAGGACTGCCCAAACAGACAATAAAAACTGTTTGAGGAAGGAACCGTTCCCTATACTGACACGTCTTCGACTCACACGTTCCTACACCACTTACTCTCTCTCCCGCACGAGCGGCTTGGACAGATGCAGCTTCAGCCTTCTTAACAGACGGTGCTGCAGCAGCTCCCCCAACTCATTGTTAAACTCCTTTTTGATTGATCTCGGGAATGAAATAGGGTTGGCGGAAACACCAGCACCGGGGATGGGTAGACGTGTAGACGTGCACACGGGCTGATGAGCACGGAGTGTGTCGGTGGCCCAGACCGTGAATGTGACTGCTGTGCAAATAGAAACAGCCGGGACTTCTTGTCGCACAGCCGCGGATGAAATCGCAACACAGTCACTAGTTTCCCACGGAGTCACGTTTTTTTTTTTCCAACAATGTGCCGTGGGAAACCAGGGATTGTGTTGCGTTTTTATCCGCGGTTGTGCGATAGGGTAGCTCAAACCTTTTCGTGAAAAAAACCCTTGCATCGAGTTTTCGGAATCCCCACGGAGCGGAGCGTGTATCCGAGGGCAAAATACTCATGGAGCGAACCGGTTTGTTGTTCATGTCACGGAGCGGAGCGGGGCGGTGAACTCCGCACCGTTCCGCACCGCTCTGCGGAAAATTGCCGTTCCGTGAACAACCCTGCTGTTTTTCGGGCGCCCTTGTGCACAGCCCCTCAGACTACACATAAATTGATAATGGAAAGTCATGAAACTGCAACACAAACGACGACCTGAACATATTATCACACCCGGACAATATAATACCAGATCAATACGAAAAAATACCTATTTTCAAGAGTGACATCGCCTTGGGTTGGCAATATATGTTGCAGGCCGGCCACGAGAAAGTGTTGAAGTCCCAATACATGTTCGCTCCAGCAGCGATAAGCTCTCGCTGCGACAAAAGTGTTGTTGTTTCAATACGTATTTCTACTACTACATCGGTTATAGCGTTCAAAAACCTGGAACTCTCACCCCCGTACTGACCCCCCGTACAAGCACGATTCGCCCATACGATTACCTTATCAAACAGCATCACAGCAACCGTTTCATGCTGCTGTATGTAGTCGTCTTACACTGCTGTGTGCGTCTATGCGCTGTACTAGTACGTGTAATGGTGCATTTTCATGTATGTCTAGTCTAGAGTTGAATGGTTGAACATGGATCTTTCGATGTCCGATTTTTCCA